TCAGAACTGAGGCTGGGAGCGTGTTGTGCAGGCCATGTGACGACCTGGGGCCTCCCTTGTGCTCCTGTAGCTGAGGAGCCACGGCTCATTCCTCACACACAGTCAGTGCGGTGGCGTCATGGCATCAAGAGAACTCAGAAGCCGGACAGGAGAGGGTGGAGAGCGTGGGGCTGACCGGGCCACCAGGCAAGGAAGACCCCGATGCCCTGGAATGGCTTCCAAGGACACAGGAATGAACAGCCTCCTCAGCGGCCGCTTTCCGAGTCACGCTGACTGCGCAGGGACAGCTCGTGGGGTGGAGCAAGCTCTCACAGAGGTGACTGTCAGGTATATGAGTTTGCTCGGCGGTTATCTTCCTGGAGAAGGAGTCAATTTGAAAAGCAATTTTCTAAAGAACTTTATCAAGGGAGTCAGTGAAGGGTGCTCAAGGAGGATCAAAGGGAAGAGAAAACTGGCTGTGACCAGCTGCGCCAGCCACGTGCAAAGAACAGAATGAACTCTGCCGCCCCACGGCCTGAGCAGAGGGGAGTGCTGAGCCTGGCGCTCACACCTCCCACCCTCTGGGAACCCCAAGGGAACTGTGGCTGCAGCTCCTCTAGATGTGAATGTGATCCAGCTGAATTCCAGGCGAATTTGGAAAAAAAAAAAATGTGTTACAACCTGATATCAGTGCCAGAAGTGGCATGGAGGAAAGCGAAATGAGTATGCTTGGCCCCGTAACGACTGTGCAATTTTACACAGCGCTGCTGTCCCGCGGTGTGGGTCACCAGGCACCTGACCCTGTCGTGTGCAGAAGAGGAACCCCAAAGTGAACACCCCACCCGGAGTTCTCACAAATGCAAACGCTGTGGGCATGTTGTGCACTTGAGAGGGAATGGCTGTTGTCTGTGACTAAACGAAACAATCAAAATAATACAGCAAAGGATCCATAGAACAAGAGCGTTCTGCAAAGTGCGCTGGGAAACGCCGGCTTCTGGACGTCAACTGACTCCATGTTTATTGCAATCTACAGCAGGATAAAGATATGAGCCCCCCCCCCCAAAGCCCAGGGGCTTTCTTTATAGGACCTGAGCATTAGGCATTTGTGCCTCTCCTGAAAGGTTGGCTGCTCTGAAGTGTCTGGCTGAGCTGTCTGCACTGAAAGCATTCCAGAACGTGGCCTGAGAATGGACACTCTGTGACCACTCAGGATCCCTACTCCGCAGCCGCCTCCTATTTTAACTCCTAAGCTAAGGATTCCTAAGTGCACAGATGAGATTTTTCTTACAGAATTACCTTTTTTCCTGCTTTCTAGAAAACAAAAAACAAACAGACCAACTAAGAACCCCTGAAAAATACAGCCATGCCGTCCCTCAGGGTGTGTGCAGGTGGTACGCCTGCAATCCAGTGAAGCATGCCCTCCTCTGTGCAGGAAGCGGTTTACGTAACATGGAGCTCAGGGGGTCTGAGGAGCATGAATTTCCCCATGGCCCCAAACAAGCCATACGCCCAGGCATGGCTTTCTGATCCCTGAACACATTTCAACCTCCAAGACTTCTAGGAAATTTATGATTCTTAACAAAAATCTATGTCTTTGCTCCCACCCCTGTCTGTCTTCCTGTTTTCCAAATGTGTGAACACCTTCCACTGTTTTTCTCCACTCCCCTCCATCTCTCCCTGTAGCTGCTCCCACAAGTTCACAGTGCCCATCTCAAGTAAGGAGACGGCACTTCCTTAGGAGGGAAGTAGTTTTGCCCCCTTGCTGACACTTCGTCCTTTGTCTCTGTCTCTAGTGTCTTCCCTACGTGGGTAGAGCAGGGTCTAGGAGAAGCAGACAAGACAGCTACAGTGGACAGCTAGCCTCCACATGCTAAATGCCAAGGCGTGCCCACACCGTTCTCTGTACGAGGGCTTCTCCCTGGCTTCTGTTTGCTTGATTTCATATTCTGAGATGGTGACTGACTTGCTGCTCGCTCCTGTTGACCTTGAGCTCCTAGCAAATCTTCCAATTCTGCCTTCCAAGTCCTGACATTCCAGGAACAAAAGGAATGGTAATGATTGAGTCAGAATGGACCAGTGTTCTTTACAACCAACAGTGACATGGATAACAATCAACAGGCCTCAGAGACTGTGCGAAGAGCCTGGTCATCAAGCCCATCAGCTCTTCTATACTGAGTGGCAACAGTGCCACAGGGACGGGAAATTGCCTGGAAGTGGAGCCTGAGGACCAATTTGAACACATACGCTTTACAGATGGGAGGCTTTTCAGAAAGCTGCTGTTGGGAATGAGGGGTTCTGAGTAAGCAGGATAGAACCGAGAAGGTTGTGCTGTCAAGGATGTGCACCTGTGACCAGATCCACTGGGGCTCTGGACCATCAATAGCACCAGATGTCCCCACTTTGAGGTGAAGCAAGGGTGCTGATGTAGCATGTGTTTTCCCCAGCCTGGCTTCTTCCACTCCTGAGGAAAGTGCTCCAGATAAGGGAGCAGCTGACACTCTGGAGAAGGGATGGGCTCTGGAGCAGGCACTGATGCCATCCTCTGAAATCCCTCAGCTGCAGCGTGCCTGTATCTATGCAAATTTCTCTTCTTCTGTCATAAGAGGTCCCCTCAGCACTAGGCCCACTCTCTCACTTGATGGACTCGTTCACGGAGACCGCAGCATGTGGTGTACTGTGGACATGGCTCCCCTATCCCTCAGCCTCAGACCATCAAAGAAATACATTCTGTTTTCTCAAAAGGAAGTAATGTCACCTTTCTGCCAAAATTTTTACAAACTCGATTGAAAGGTGAACAACCCTGAGTGACTCCAGTCCTAAGTACCCTGGATGAAATTGAAACAAAAAACAACTTTTCTATGCCTGGAGGCTTATCTGCTGGGCAGAGTTGAGTCATTAAGATCACAGAGTGTTCTGGTGGTGGTGGTGGTTTGTTTTGTGGAAAGGCCTTTCTGTGTAGGCCAGCATCCCCTTGAACTCGTTAGGTAGCCCAGGCTAGCCTGACACTCATGACCCTCCTGCTGGCTCCCTATGTGCTGAAATTACAGGTGTGCACCTCTCCGCCTGACTAATAGTGACTTGCACTCAGCAGACGATGAGTGAGTCCTGAGGCTTCAAGGGCAGTTACTACAGTGAATGTCCTGGTTGTTGGCTTGTGAGTTTTGAACTTTTCAAGTGAGCCAAGACTATAAGACAGGAATAGGACAGAATGTTCAAACTCCTTCTGGGCATCTTCCTGGCATTTTTCTCTGCAAACCCAAGACCTCCCTGATAGCACATTCTAAACTCCTTCTTAGACCTGCTCCTGTCTTCACAGAAACCCCATAGCAAAGCGTAGCATTTTTCTCATACCTTAAGGTGCAAGCCATTCTAGAGACCTCCAAAGGGTAGCCAGAAATCCTGCATTGCCAAATCTACATTTTTGCAACTATCAAATCAATGAATGAAAAGTTAATTAAATTAAATTTGTTAGGTAAAATTTCAGCTCCTCACTCATGCTGGCTGCATTTAAGTGTTCTGTTGCCTTCTGTGGCCAGTGCCTACTGTACCAGAGCACACAGGGCACTTCCACTACAGTCGGGAGCTCTGCAGGCCAGTGCCAACCCAGCCGTTTATAAGCAAGCTCTGTGTACACATCTGTGTATAACCTGACTTTCAAGGCTGGCGTCACAACTGCTCGCCAACAAATTCTCAAGAACCTAGGACCAAAGGCCACTTCCCCCACCATCCCCAGCTCTCCATCCCCTGGAGGCTGGCCTCAGAGATTCTAAAGCCTGTCAAGTTGACAACCAATGTCAACATCACAGTTTTCAAGTTGCTTGGGAGAGTGTTCCTGTATCAGTCAAATACAGTGTGTGCTTCTGGAAACCATCTTGGGCTTGTGGTCTTGTACCAATGACAATACAGAATCAAGCTTGGCACCAAGCCGCTTGTGTGTAATGGGCATCTTTTCCTAGATATAGTCTGTACAATACATGGTTTAAAGCACCTATCATTCGTGAAGAAAACAAAGAAATGTGTACTGTTTGGAGCTCTAAAGGGGACAGTATACCAAATCCCCAAGGCTCAGAGCAACACACTGTAGAAGACACAGATAAGGAGGATAAGGAAGGATAAGGAAGAGGATAAGGAAGAGTGGCGTGAAATACTGTTTTCTGGCCTTGACATGGCCATTGCACTCAAGCTCAGCAGCTCTGGTCACCTGCACACAATCTACACACAATGGAGCCGTCAGCAGCAAAGAGAAGAGAAGGACTGTGGGACTCCACCCCTAGCTGAGCAGTTTCTGGCTATGGGTGTCTGCTGGGGGAAGAAAAACCATTTTTCTTCAGGGTGTGGCCACTGGTAGGTTAATCATGCCCTGGTGGGCGGCCCCACACCCAAGAGTGTCCAGGCAGCTCTAACTGAACTTAGTGGATTCTTTTTTTTTTTTTTTCAATACATGAAATTGAAGGGGGGGCATGTTGGTGGTCCAGGAGGAGAAGGATGGGGAACTGGGGGGGGGGGGGGGGTATGATCAAGATACATTGTATGAAATTGTCAAAGACTAAATTTAAACTGTTCTTTTGAAAAAGAAAAACTAAGTCATTGTGAGTTCTTTCCTACATCTGAGTTGCTCCTAAGACAAGACCTTGCCAATTTGGGACACTGAATCATCCTACTAAGAAACAGGGGTGCAGAGAACAGGTACCACATCCTGTCAGACATCGGTAGAAGACTCTCCCTGAGGAATTAAATCCCTGACACTTTCAGGTGTCCTGCACACAGGCTGAGCAGATTTCTGTGATGTTGGCAGGAGAGAGGCTGAAGTGGAGGAAGCCAGGCTACGGGAGAGCTGCAGGTGACCCAGGGGGGCTTAGGCAATGTGGGGAGGACACCAACGGCGGTTACATCCCCTTTGCAGGGAATGGCCTATGCTCAGATCCACACGGGTGATGTGAAAATCAAAACCCATTGAATCCCGTTGTCATGGCATGTATCTCAAATATTCTCTTACCAAATTTCCTCCTCTCTGTCCTCAGGAAAATACCACCCACCGGCAAATTGGTACTGACCCTCAAAACAGATGCCTGTGAGGGGAAAGAAAACTTTGTCCGCTACCTAGAGCATGTGCAAGCTGTCATCACAGTGAATGCAACCCGAAGAGGAGACCTGAACATCAACATGACGTCCCCCATGGGCACCAAGTCCATTTTGCTGAGCCGGCGTCCAAGAGACGATGACTCCAAGGTGGGCTTCGACAAGTGGCCTTTCATGACCACCCACACCTGGGGGGAGGACGCCCGGGGGACCTGGACCCTGGAGCTGGGCTTTGTGGGCAGTGCCCCACAGAAGGGGTTGCTCAAGGAATGGACCCTGATGCTACATGGCACGCAGAGTGCCCCATACATTGATCAGGTGGTGCGGGATTACCAGTCCAAGCTAGCCATGTCCAAGAAGCAGGAGCTGGAGGAAGAGCTGGATGAGGCAGTGGAGAGAAGTCTGCAAAGCATCCTGAGGAAGAACTAGGGCCATGCTTCATCCTTCACCTCCCCCTCCTCCCTGTCTCTGCCTCTGTCCTTGCTCCACAGTTCTGGCAGCCACCAGCCGCCCAGAAATTCCTGTTACCCCCACACAAGCAATCCCAGCCTGGTCTGCAGCTTTGCTCACTGTCAATGATTATTTGCACCACAATGGAAGCAATCGTTTTTATTCTGTAGCCCAAATATAGCGTTCCTACCAACATCTACGTCCTACGTGTGACTCGACCTTTATTTCTGTCATGTAAATGGGTGATACGCTGCAAACAAAACCGGGACAGTTTTGCTCTCAGTTTTTCTTTTCATGTCTGAGGAGAGAAACGAATGCATCAAATGAGTCTTGGTGACTCAAGAGCATTTGTGGTCTCAGCTGAGGTGCTGTTACTTGGCACAGAAATGAAACCTGGCAGAGGGTAAACTCCACAGCTCTAGCATGGGGGGAAGAGGGTGGCTTAAATTAGGCACGACTAGGCAGGGTCATCAACTGAGGTGTGTGATGAGAAAGTTGCTGTTCCTGGGAAGCCCTACTGTACAGGGTGAGGAAATTTAAAAGGCATGAGCATTGAAAATTTACTGCCGATACCAAAATTATGTTCCCTGTGCTCTGCCAGGATGACATAAAACTGAGGCCCATTGCTCTCCTGTCACCAGCCGCCGCTCTGAGTGGGGTAGAATCCCCTGGGACACCCAAAATGCCTTTCTTAGAGTTCAGGCATACACAGCCAGCCATCCAAGACAGAAACTACAAGGCAGAGCTCGCAGCTGTCGGGCAAAGAGCGATTCACCAGCTTTAGAAACAGGAGCACTCCTTTTCCCTAGTGCTTTAGACAGCTTTGATATGACACAAACAAGAGGCAGGACGTTTCTCTTTTTTTTGTTTTTTCTTTTATGTTTTGATTTGTTTTTGACAGCTTTACCCACATCCACCTGGGCTTTGATTTCCCAAAAGCATTATTGGAGTGCAATTTCTCCCTCCCTTGAGCTGTGATTTCCTTGATGTTTTGGGGAAGTGGGCCGCTGTCCCAGAAGAGGCTAGTGGGTGAAGACATTAAGTGGCCATGTTCTTGCTGACCTCTGTTTGCAAGGAGCTTGCTCCACGGAGAGGGACACATGCCAAGCCGATCCCCATGACCAGAAGCCAGAGGGCAGCAAGAGACAGCCTCTTTTAGGAAAGCACACTTTGTCATCACGGCAACTCAGGAAGCCGTGAGCATATCTAGCAAGTATCCCAGAGGTGACAGCTGTCGACTTTAAAAGATATCGCGTCGTCCCAGTTATTACCAAACTGTCACTTGCTGTCCCCACCCAAGGACTGGCTTCTTAATCAAATCCCAGTGTGCAGTCACCCCACCCCACCTTGTCACCCGCCTTCTCTGATGCATGTGCAGAGCCTCGGGCTCCTTTGCTGAGGTCAGCAACTCGGAAAACACTAGGTTTCCATTGCTTGAGGGCGGCAACTTCAAGAGAGAGTTCTGAAAAGCTCGTTTCATTCCTTTTCTCCCCCAGACTGACAAGCATTTTGTCCTCTCTAACACCTTATACCTTTCCCTGTATCCCGCTTTTGAGTGTAATAATATTTATGATTTTTAAAAGTTTATTACTTGATGCAAAGGTCTTTTTAAACCACCTTAGATTTAAAGGAAAAAATGATAATCATTGAAAATGCATTTCACATTAATGGTCTGGAAATAAACCAAAGGACATTATGTGTGCATGCGTGCGTAAGTGCCCACAGAAATATATGTACATATGTAGACGCATACATGTGTATATGTGTGTATATATACTTGTATAAATGTACATACACACGTATACCTAGATGTGTGTGTTCTGTATGTATTGGAGAAACACACGCCGTATACATCTCTAAAAGAGTATTCAGAAAATATCAAAATGATTCCGGCTGAGCAGAGGCCGGTGGAGATTCAGGTGAAATGTCTGTTCATCTCTTCCCGTTGTGACATCTCTGTAATTTTGAAGCTCTCTGTATAAACATTAAATGTCTTATATAAGCAGCAGAAATATAAAATAGTTGTCCATATTTTCACATTTGTAGTATAATTTATGAAATTAGAGAGTAACTTATCTGCTTCTTAATAGAAATGGGAAATTTTGATATGAGTATATAAAGGTATATACAACGCTAAATATAAACATTTGATCTCTATTTCATTTTTGGCATCCGTATTAACACAAACTATGTCTAGCTAGTAATGTTTTTATGATGCCCCTGATTTTAATGCAAGAGGCAGTTATTTATTTTAAAAAGTGAAAGCAGGTGGATAATAATCAGGTTAACATTGTTACTCCCTGTGACAAATTTCTAAGTAAATTTAAAAATATATGTTGTAAATTAGGAGGCTCAACAATAAAACATACCTTCCAGAAAATATGTGGGATGTGCTGTATCTTACACAAAAATACTTCCACCCAGTGTAGGAGCCAAAGGTAGACCTTAAAAGCTTGTTTTAGCACATATGCATGACAGATGAGTTATTAGCAGATAAGTCACATGCAAATTATGATCAACAAGAGCATTTCTGAAACTCCAGTTACCTTTGAAAGTGGATGATAAATTCAGCGTAGTAGTCAATATCAGACTTCTAACAGAAGAAAAGAGTTCATATAATAAGTTCTGTTTCCTGAAGTACCTATTCCCGGAGTGTGTGCGTGTGTGTGTGTGTCAGGCATGCATGCCTTTTCTACCTGCCTTAGTATATATACTGGCCCATATGAAAATATGTATATGTCTTATTGTGGGCCATGATCAAAAATATTTCAGAGCTTCCTTTAACCCCATTCACAAGACAGAGACAGGTGAGTCTCTGTGAGTTTGAGGCTAGCCTGGTCTACATAGTGAGTTCCAGGGAAGGCAAGGCTGTATGGAGAGACCCTGTCTCAACAACAACAATAAAAACCTTCAACAAACATGATTCTAAAACACAGTATATAGTTAATGCATATTATAATAACAACCTCAGAGTCTTTTTGACTTAATACAAAGGCTTATCTGTCATTCCCGTGAGGTCAAATGAGGGCTTGGGTGACTCTCTGTACACTGAGCAGGGACCTAGGTCACCTCCGTCTCATACTTTGTGGTCTGAACACGGGGTGAACACCAGATAGCTTCTCATGCTCTTCCCTGTTCAGGAGATGTGCATACTCTTGCCCACAGCACCAGACCGTTCTCATCAATGAACCAACATAGACATGGGACAATTGGGAAGTGCAGGAAAATTAATGGGGTACCTGCTGAGTGTTAGACCCCTACCGTGGTGCCTGATAGTCCTGGGAAGCGAGTTCCTAATTTACATGGCAACTGTTCCTCGTGGGTGGTACTGTGCTCTAGGGCAAACTAACTGTACCTTACTCCCATGTGACCATGTTATTCTAAAAAAAAAAAGTAACTCATTGTAAATAATTTATAATGTTCTCTGGTCCTTCATTTATTAAACTCAAATATTAAAACTTTAAGTGAGCCTATGACTAAATGTGGAAAGATATAAGATGTGGAAAGATATAAGACCCAAAGTCTTGTCTAATTACATTGAAACACTATAAGCCAAAACTTTTGTTCAGGCCTTGATACCCTAAAGATTAAAGTTTGGGAGAGGGCTGCTTCTGTGTGTGTGTGTGTGTGTGTGTGTGTGTGTGTGTGTGTGTGTGTGTGCTGGGTTTTGTCCTCTGTTTTCACTCTTTTTTTATTTGTTTTGCTTTATGTGTATACATGTTTTACTTGTGTGCCTGTTGGATCCCTGGAACTGGGGTTACAGATGGCTGTGAGGCACCGTGTGGATGCTGGGAATTGACCCTGGGTCAAAGCAAAAGCAACAAGTGCTCTTGACAGCTTAGTAATCTCTCCAGCCCCATTTTTAAATACCTGCAGAGTTATTGCTCTATGCCATCATTACTCTTGTCATCATAAATTAATGATGGGCTTCCAAGTGACAAATACATTCACTGATTCAACTGATTATAAGGAAACCACACAGTGCAAAACCAGACAACCAAGTACTTTACATTTAGATAGAAAGAGAAATGCTAAATTAGAAGATGTGTTGACTTCACAGCCAGGGTGTTTAAAGATGCAAGAATCTGGTTTGCTTTGAAATAATAAAAGTAAAACCACAAGGATTAGAAAGAGTGGATATGACCTTAAAATAAATAACGCCAGCCCATGTCACGTGGGCCAGTGCAAGTGATTTGGTTATATCCAGTAAAGGAGTTCTCTGCCCCCAAAAACGGAATGAGTCAATAGAGTGGGAGAAGGGAAACTCAACCTACGGGAGCTTAAATGCATGGAGAGACAAGATGGCAGATGGCAGATGTGGGCAGAGAGAGACTAGCACACAGGAGAATCTCGGTCTCTGAAGAATGAAGTCTACTGAGAACAGTGTGCTGAGTGAGCCACGCCAGGCCCAGGTGTGGTGCACTGCCTGTGTCACCTGCCCATGGCCCCTCTCCATATCCACCCGCAGCCTTCCGGTGCCTCCTTCAACTTCCCGGGACTTTTAGCTGCATTTAAGGGAGACACACACCTCCATCCAGAAGTCAGTGCACTCTTGAGTTTGTCCCCTGATCTCTTATTCATTTAGCTGAGCCCTTTCCTTTCATTTAAATAACTGAGCAGCTCTGAGTTCAGATTTCTAAGGAAACAGGAAGAAAATGTGATCAAGAGGTAAATTCCCAGGCCAGGCTTCTGATGCAGCCCACGGAAGGGAAGCTCTGTGTTGCTGAACCCCTAATCCTCAGCCTGAGTGGACTGGGGCCGGGTTAGAATGGGAAGTCAGTCAGAAATCTCAGCCCACATAGCTCAGGGGCCAGAGAAGAGCAACAGTGAAGCCACCAGTCCCCTAACTCTGATGTCAACTGTCACCTGTTTACACCAGGGAATCCTGTCACACATGCACCTTCCCATCCCAGCATGGAGAGTCTCACCCATACCTTATCAAAATCCTGCACCCAAGAGGACATCCCACAAACTATTCCCAGCTGGAAACTAAAACTTACATGCTCCCATGTGGTCCCATGCCCTCAGACCACTGACTGGCCACAGGTGGCAGGTGAGCACATGGTCCCAGGATGCTCACGTGCAATTAAGGAGGCATGGCTGCTGAGGCACCAACGCCATGGAACCATTGTCCCAGGAACCAATCTCAATTCGAGTCCTAGCGCTCTCGCTCGCTCTCTTTCTCTCTCATCAGTATAG